AATATTTCAACACCTGAGAAAGCCTCAGCAAGGGAAAACTCTATAGTCGTAAATTTCAGAAATGATATAACTCAACCCTTTCATTTTTCAGATTTTCTCTCTAAAATATTCATTTGTTTTCATTAATCAATGAATAATGAGGAATTTTAGGCACCTGTCCACAAAGAAATGGAATTTCACCTGACTATGAACCTGAAAAATGAAAAGAAAAAATTCCAATAGAACACCATCAAATTCTTTACAATGGAATTATTGTTAGAATTATTTAGTTATTTATACTCATCTGGCTCTACTATTTGAAGTGCATTCAAACATCGAAGCCAAACCTTAAATATCATTGTGGTTGACAGTGTCTGACTTTATTGAGCAAGTTTAGCTGAGGCCTTGATGACACAAAAGGACAATAACAAGCAAACATCTATCTATTCTTTGGCTACGGCATCAGGAGTCGCCACCATTCATTTTGCGTGACATATATTACAGCTGACCCTCGGAGAGGTAGACATCTTTTGTTACTGCTGGCCAAGCATCCTTTCCCTAATATTCCTTTGGAGAACCACCAATCCCCATTTCCAGGGGAAGGCACCAGAATCCAGACTTACCCATTAGAACAGTCCACACCCCATGACGACAGTGATTTGTTCCAAGAGAGGCAAATGACTCAAACTGCCTCTGTAACAGCAGCCCTGGAAATTCTGCTGCAAATATTAAAGAAAAGGTACAAGCTCTCTCTCCTGCTAGGACTAAGCTGGTTGTAGCTCCTCAGGGGTTATCATATGGAAACAGTCTGGTTGAAAATGTAGCCCAAACTGGAAAATAGGTCCTGATAACCTGACTGCAATAGACCCAGACACATCTTCATTTGCAAGACTTAACCTTATGCCTTTTTTTGTCAACCAAATAGTCATTTTTACTCAAGCCAGCTTGAATTGGCTTTGTCACTTGCAACTAAAAGAATCCTGCCTTTAACAATATAATGACACTAAAAATAAACATGAGTGTGGAGGTTTTTAATTTTGAATGGATTTTTCTCCACGTGTACATAACTCATTTAATCCTCACAATTCAGAAAAGGAGATAGCTATTAACATTAAATTAATATTTATTATTTTTTTAACCATCCTATGTAGCAGTCCCTGCTGTGGGTACTGGGGATACAACAGTGAACAAAAATCCCTTTTCTTATGTAGCTTACATTCTAGCAGGATGAGATGGACTATAAATAGAACAAATAGGCAATCATATAATATAGTAAAAGAAAATAAGCATTGCAGGGGAAAAAGCAGGGGAGAGAAGTGGGTAATGGCAGGGGAGAGGTCAATTTGAAATCCGGTGGCCAGAGAGGGCTTGACTTATGGGGGAGGAAAGTGGAGGTGACATATTTCACAATGCTCAGTAAGTATTCAGCGAATGAACAGGACACGGTAGAGCTATAAGGTGATTTTTACACTCATCCCTGAATGATGAATGAGAAGGCTCTCGCAACAGCCCAGGCCAGAGATGGTGAACACCAAACAGGGAGCCCTATGAGAATGGTTCAAACAATAGGGCAAAGAGATGGAGTTTAGATGTGGAGGCCCTGGAGTACTTCCACGTCGGTGGGCACAGCCATTGTCACTGGGATGGGGAAAGCAGAAAGGGGCACAGTTTGGGAAGAAGTGTGGGAGACAAAATATGGGTCAATTAAACCTGCCTACAGGATATACATGTATCTCTCCTTTTCAAAAGTTCACTACACACCACTTTGTGGTTATGAAAGACCTACAATAGTACCTGGTTTTTGCAGCGAGCCGTTAAAGAGCCAAGAAGCATCGTGAGCAGCCACAGTGGCACAGGCAAGCTCCTTCACTGAGAACTACACTGCACACACATTATTTGTATTTTCCATAGGCTGCATATTACCATATCATTCTCGCTTTTACTATTTGTTGTTGTTATGTGCCGTCGAGTCGTACCCGACTCATAGTGACCCCTCCTTGGGCTGTCGAGGCAGTATCACTATGGAAGTAGATTGCCCAACCTTGCTTCCGAGGAGTGGCTGGTGGGTTTGAACCACCAGCCTTCTGGTTAGCAGTCAAGTGCCTTAGGCTTGAGAGCTCCCTGCTTTTACTATATGTTAGCGCTATTCCAGGCTTACGTGCTATTTGGTGTGATTTGGTAAGTTATTTCTGGGGTCTGAGAAGGCTCAAAAATGCTTCCCATATAAATGAATAGTAATTGTGTCTTCCCTTTATGCAACTTTGGGTTACAAAAGGTTTCATAGGAACACTCTACTTTTGCATAGCGGGGAAAACGTGTATAAGTGAAGCAGTCCAGTAAGTGGCTAGGCAGCTCTGGGCCCCAGAGAAGCTGAGACTGGAATACAAAATGGAGATTCATTGGCAAACAGACCACAGTTCAGCTTGGAGTATGAGAGACTCGCCCTGACAAGAAAAGAAGAAGACCATCATCTTCCTCTCAGTAATCTGTCCTGCTAATGAGCTCATGAGCACAGGCTCCTCTGCCTGCCTATCCCTTGCTCTTGGTGGTACTCCAACAGGTCCCTCACTCAGGAAGCACTTACTAAATCTATGTGGAGTGACTGAATGTATAGGGCCAGGGCACTGGAGAACATGCAGTTGGTTCTATCTGGGGTGTTCTCTCCAAGCTATCTCCACTGTTAGACTACCAGTCTTGGTCCTTATACTGAATCCAGTCTCTTATTCCAATAAACCGAGGGGCGGGGAATCAAACTCACTGACATCAAGGAGATTCTGATTCATAGCGACCCTAGTTGGGTTTCCTAGGGTGTAAATCTTTATGGAAGTCGATTGCCCCCATCTTCCTTCCACGGAGCGGCTGGTGGGCTTGAACCGCTGACCTTCTGGTTAGCAGCCAAATGCCTTATCCACTACACCACGGGAGCGCCTTCTTATTATAATACCACATCTTAATTTCATTCACGCTCTAATATGAGGTGTCATCACAGGTGGCAACGCTTTCTGGGGGTGTCTCAAAAAGACCTGAGTTGAAAAAATAGTTTTGTGTCATTTTAATTTAAAGTAAAATTACTGTCTGCTTTTCTCATCCTTTCCTTTTCTCTTGGCCTTTCAGGGATGCAGACAAGTGAGCTTCAGAAGGAAATGGGGTCGGAGGTGGAGCTCTCCGAGGAAATTCTTTAACGTCTCGGGAAAACAAAGGAGGTAGAGAAGCGAAAGGTATGGCTGTTGGCAATGGCATGGGGGTTTTACGCGCTTGGAGAAGAGCGTACCCTAGGGGGCAGCAGACCTAGTCCTTGGCGAGTCAGTAGCAGAGCTGAAGTGAGGCTCACGTCCCAGGGCGTGAGCCCCGCGGCCGCCAGCTCTGGCTTGGCCAAGCACGCCAGGGTCAAGGTCGCCGGCACCCTCAGTAGGCAGCATTCTATCCAGGCCTGTCCCTTCTAGGACTCTGGAGAGGACGGTTTTGCTTTGGACCTGTCCTTCCCTTCCTCGCTCCTCCGCTTACTAGTAGCGTAGTGCCTAAGGCACTTGACTGCTAACCAGAAGGCTGGCGGTTCAAACCCACCAGCCACTCCTCGGAAGGAAGGTTGGGCAATCTACTTCCGTAGTGATACTGCCTCGGAAACCCAAGGAGGGGCCGCTGTGAATCAGGTCCGACTCCAGGGCACATAACAACAACAGCGTAGCCTTCAGATCTCCGCTTTCTCGCACTCCTGCAGGAACCCACCTTTCCCAAACCAAGCTCCTCTCTCCTGACACCTACCAAAGCTGTATTTTTACTTTCACGTTTGTGACTACGTGTTTTTTTTTTTTAATTGTGTGTGTGTGTGTGTAGTTGTAATGTTAACGCATGAGGCGAAAATTCATTTAGGGTCAGAATAACCCATGGAATATAGGCCATAAATCACAGGATTTGATGCCTACATCCAACACAGTGAGCTCAGGTACACGTAGGTAAAGCATGACCTTATGGTGTACAATGGATAAAAAGTATAGATGCAAATTTAAGTGCAAAAGAGAAAAATGGTATCAGGTAACTGGGTCTGCACGTGACGCCACTGTACTTGTTACAGACCCGCACATTTGCCTGTAAGGGGCACGAAGGCTGGCCTCGTCCAATGTTGCCACCACCGAATGCTCAGTACCTGACACGGTACACTAATACATATTCAATAATGGCTCTTGAATTAATGAAGTAATGAACGTCGGCCTTGAGAGAAGCTGGCAAGAGCTGGAAGGCTGAGCCCTATCATTGTGACTGTGGGTCATGAAGGGGACACGGGGGCCCTTGGGCTCTCGGGCTCCACCCAGAGGCACCGAGCTCGACTCCCCGAGGAACGGTTCTCCCCTCCGCGCCACGTGTGCCCGCCTCCCGGAGGCCGTAACTGGCCCCGCCTCCTCCGACGCACGCGCTCTGTGGGTGGCCCGGCCCCGTCCAGCCCGTACTCCGCGGCTCGCCCTGCGCGCCTGCTGCCCCTAGCGTCTGAGCCCGCTGGAGGGCGCTCCTCTCCCACCCCGCTCACCCACACGCAGGCGCCTCAGAAACCCCCGCGATTCCACTCCCAAGCCGAAGCGGAGCGTCGCCTCCTACCTGAGGGCCCGAGAGGGAGGCGGGCGGAAAGGCTGAGGAGGCTGAACAGAATTATGGCATAAGGCGGGAGGCAGAGAGTAAGCGGCCGCGGCGGATGGTCCGGGCGCGAGCGCGCGCGTGGTCCCCGCCCTCGCTCCCTCAGTCGACTCACGGCTAGAGCCCAACCCAGCTGCCGCGCACCGCCCGCCTCGCCGCGCCTAATAACAACGGCGCCCTGGGTCAGGTGGCCGCGCGCGGACAGCGTCGCCATTGGCCCTGCGGGGAGCGCGGCGCTTCAGGATTGGCTAGGAGGCGGAGCCTCGGCCGGAGCGGGGGTGGGGCTGTGCAGGGAGGCGGGCGGGAAGGCCTCGGAGGCGGGGCCAGGCCGCGGTCCGCGGCTTTGTGCCGGGCGCGCGCTCTCCGCCGGCTCCGGCTGCCGCGCCCGCTGCATCAATAATTCAGAGCGGCGGTGGCGGCAGCAGCGGCGAGTGTGGACAGGAGGCGGCGGCAGCAGCAGTGGGGACCGAGCGGCGGCGGCTATGCATCCAAGTGCGGTTGGGCACCCGCGGCATCCCTGAGGCCCGGGAGAGGCTCGGGAGCTTCGCGAGGGGACGCTTATCCCGGCAGTGAGAGGAAGCGCTGTAGTGTCCGGAGCGGCGTTGGCAGAGCTGCGCCCGGAGCTGAGGAGGGGGCTTCGGAGCGGGCCGGGGTGGGGGGGGCGGCTGGCGCAGGCAGCCCCGGGGGTGGGGGGCGGGGTGGGCGCCGGCGCCGCGATGCTGGGCGTCGTGGAGCTGCTGCTGCTGGGGGCGGCGTGGCTGGCGGGCCCAGCCCATGGGCAGAACGAAACGGAGCCCATCGTACTTGAGGGCAAGTGCCTGGTGGTGTGCGACTCCAACCCCACGTCCGACCCCACGGGCACGGCTCTGGGCATCTCCGTGCGCTCCGGCAGCGCCAAGGTGGCATTCTCGGCCATCAGGAGCACCAACCACGAGCCGTCCGAGATGAGTAATCGCACCATGATTATCTACTTCGACCAGGTGAGTGCTCCGTCCCGCCCATCCCCATTCGGATTGGGGGGATGGAGGTCTGGTGTTTGATCCTCTCCCAGGACTCTGCAGAGCCTCCGCCTCTGTAGGAGGGTACGGGTTGACCCCTGCTCACTCTACTCCGTTCTTGTCTTGTTCTAGGTACTAGTGAACATCGGGAACAACTTTGATTCAGAACGCAGCACTTTCATTGCCCCGCGCAAAGGAATCTACAGTTTTAACTTCCACGTGGTAAAAGTCTACAACAGACAGACCATCCAGGTTAGCCGGCGCCGCGGGGCCAGGCCCAGGCTTCAGTAGGGGTTTCCAGCCGCGCGGGTGCGGGGGCTGTGTGGGAGTAGGTGACAGAAGTGGCAGCTGTATGTGCCCAGGGCTGCTTGGAGGGACGGGTGGCGGGCCTCACGTTTCTGTGGCTAGGATTGTCCCTTTTCCCGGTCGCCTGCTCTTGGGACCCAGCCCCCTCCTCAGAGACAATTTCCTGCCCCCTCTTTCTGAGCCCCTCCAATGAGGTTCTCCGCATTGCTACGGGACTCCAGGGACTTCCCATAGTGTTTGCTGTAGGAGAGAGCCCCGGCTTCCTGAAGCCTGGGAAGCTTGCCGCTACCAAAATCTTAAACACCGCGACCCTTGCCCAGTTTAGAAGCCAAGCCCGCGATCTGAGAGCTTGCCTTCAGCACTTTGGACAGAATCACAGGCGTCCCTTTGGCAACAGACTCGGGGTTTTTGAAATAGGAGCTCAGAGCCCAGGCAGAGTGAAGGGTGGAGAGAAAAGGGAGGGGGCGTAGTGCCCCTCCCTCCTGATTCCTGCCGCGCTCCAGTCTGTACTCGGCGGGCTCGCCAGGTCCCCGAAATTGTCCACGTCTCCGCCGGGCGGAAACAAAAGGCGAAACACGCCTCTGGGTCGAGGGCGCCGGCCTCTGCCTGTCGGTGCCATCGCAAGGGCAAAACCTGGCTGGGGCGGGAACGGAGCCTGGGCTTCGGCGACGAGGGACGAATGCAGCTCGGTGCGAGACTTCTAAACAGCCAGAAAACCTACCCCAGCTTCAGCGCTATGTCTGAAGGCAGAAAGGAAGCCAGGACCAGGAGGAACTGGGGTTTTTGTTTTGTTTACCCAAGGGTTCCAGGAAGAGAGTTCCGGAGTTTGTTTTTGAGCCTGCGGGAGACGGGAGACAGACTGGCAGCATGAGGGCTTGAGCGTCTTGCAGGATCACTAAACTGGGGATTTCAGTCGGGATTCACTTGGCACGCTCAGCTCGAGAAAACCATGGGGGCGACTCCCATTTGGGGAGCAGACCCATCTTCTCAACTGGATGAGATGCTGTCTATCGCCCCCACTGAGCCCTCGGCAGATAAGCTGCAATGTCCGGGTTCATTTCCCGCCCCTAGTGCTTCCCGGCCTTTGTGGCTGGAAGCCCAGCGGCGGAGGGGCGCAGCGCCACCGCCGCTCGGTACCGCCTGGGCTGTGCCTCTCTAGCGGGCCTTTCTCTTTCTTAGGTGAGCCTCATGTTAAACGGGTGGCCGGTGATTTCAGCCTTCGCTGGTGACCAGGACGTGACCCGGGAGGCCGCCAGCAACGGAGTCCTAATCCAGATGGAGAAAGGCGACCGAGCATACCTCAAATTGGAGCGGGGGAACTTGATGGGGGGCTGGAAGTATTCGACCTTCTCCGGATTCCTGGTGTTTCCCCTCTGACTGGCTCCTAGCGGTTGGAGGCAGGGAGAGGGCCAAGGCAGGAGGGTAGTGAGCAAGAGGCTGAAATTCAGAGGGCGAGAAAGCTGCACGACTTGAAACTTCCTACACGTTCCCCAGCTGTATCCGGGTAAAAGGTGCGCGCCGTCGGGCGCTGTTGTCCATTTCCTCTTTAGGTGAAGTCAATTCTGCTTAGCTCTGTGCACTCCTATTTCCAAAAATAAACTCACCTCCCCCGATTCCAGTTGCAGTGATCATGAAAGAGACTGCCTTGTCATTGTTTCTTACCCTCACATTCATGTTCCCTACAATTTATTTAAAAGGAACTTTGTATTTCACTGTATAATGTGAAATATTTATCCCCCATTTCCCTTCTGAATCCTTCCACCTACTGAAATCTAATATCCACCCCCCATTATTTTTTTGTAGTTGGGGAAGGTGTAATTTTTTTTTTTTTTTTGATGTGGGAGGTAGTTTTAAATTGGCAAATGTTTACTATTCTTAAAAGATGCTCAAGAGCTAATTAGCTGAAGATACTTTGTATCCTGGCTGCTTGGTAGCAGAGAAAGGACTCACCTTAGTGGTGACTGGTT